TCGCTGAGCTCAAGGCTCGTGCTGAGACTCACTGGAGCAATAGTCAAAACCACCAAGAACTTCCTCTGTACACCTCCAACCTGCAATGTTTGCTGTTGTTCAGAGTGCACAGAAAGCTGTGAGAGGGTGTGGGATACAGCTATTTACTTTTCTAGTATGAAGGGAAATGGCCTGAAGGGACTGAATTATGGAGCAACACGCTTTGTTTCCTTCTTGCTTGTGTCTTGGTTCAGAGAAGGGTTTGTTTAGTGCTTCCTCCTTTGCCTTGTGGTTTAAAAACAACAGTGAAAGAAACCCAAGAGCAAACACTGAGCAAGGACCAGCTGAGTGGATACCCCACAGATCAGCCAGATTATCATGGGGACATCCTGAGCCACAGCTGGGATCCAAGCGCTCTAACCTGCCACAAACTGTTCCCACCAGAGAGCACTGGACGTGGCCTGTGTGCCACTCACCCATCTGCATTGGTGTTTGGTGGCACCTGGCTGGAGCAGCACGTGAAGAAGCCCTGCAGGGGCCTCACGCTGCCCTGGTCAGGGCCGTGGGAGGGAGTGACGGATGGGGTGAGCAGGTTGTGCCACCTCACCCTGCTGTCCCCTCAGCGCCCAGCCCCTGGTGGCACCAGCGTCCCCACGCCTTGCCCGGGCAGGGATGGAGGCAGGAAAATCAGCCCCCCACTGCTGGAAGGGCAGTGTATCAGCAGCAGGCTTTCTGGACTGCTTTGCAAAGATGACTGCTACAGGAGAACTTCCTGCTCCCAAACTCCTGGACCTGAATAAAAAAGAGGCTCCAGCCATTGCACCACCTCATTTTTGGTTTTGGCTTCTCTGTCCTCTCCAGGAGAAGGACAACAAGGTGCAGCTGCCCAGGCACTGCTGGAGTGCTCTGCTCACCTCTCAGGGCAGGCAGCAAAGGGAATACTCCAAGGGACAGCCTCAGCTCTTCTGAGCAGCAGCTCCCAGGGGAGATCAGGCACTGTTGGTGTGTTTGGGCATGGGAAGCCTGCAGGACTCTTTTACCAACTGACAGCTGCAGTGCAGTGCAGATACTTGGGTACCATAGTGTTTAAAAAGAAAGGACCTTGTAGCAATGATTGCACCAACAAAATTTGGCATTCCCACTTTTATATTAAATTTTTTTTTATTGAGATGATGTAATTACAGGCATTTTAAAAATTATTTGCAACTCACTGGCCCTGAGAATAGGCTTTTTGTTTGTTTTTGTTTTGTTACATTCATTTGATTCAGTCCCTTAGCCCCACACCTTAAAAAACCAAAAAGCCATCATCAATAAAAACAGACTAGGATTTTATTTAAAAAAAAAAAAAAAAAAAGACCTCAAACTGATGCATTCTGGATTTGCACAGGGTTGCAGTCTGACAGAGAGCTCTGGAGAATGCATGTGTGCAGTCCGAAAGCCGGGGAGGGCGGCAGCCACTTAGTGTTCACAGAAGGGGCCCCAGTAGTGTTGTCTGGATGGAGAGGCAGTCAGAAAGTTCAAAACTTCAATGAAGAAGCTGCTCTGCTGTGGAACTGCAGCGTGTCCTCCCTGACTGGCCTGTGGCTTGTTCAGACTGGTAGTAAGGTGATGGCAGTGAAGGTCCCACTGACCTGCACAATGGGTGTGGAGGTTGGCAGGGGCCTCTGGAGGTCTCGTCCAACCCCTCTGCTCAGAGCCACCCAGGCCCACCTCCAAATGGCTCTTCCCTGTCTCTGAGGATGAGACTCTTTCTGTCTCTTCCCACTTGCTTTGGTGGCAAAGGCAGAAAGTTCTACACAGGGAAACCAGAGCCTGGGGAGGGAAGGCGGGTGTCAGGGTTGGTGGAAAGTCATTGTTACCTTTGCTAGCCCAGATGTGCAGCCACACGTTCCTCCAGCTCCCTGCATTCATCCTGTTGACTCCACGTCTCTTCCATTTGGATGTGAGGTAGATGGGAATCTCTCTACTGCAGCTGCTCTAGCCTGGTTTGGGTGAACTTGCTTCCAAGAGCCCAAGAGCAGTTCAGATCCTGCAGCTCCCACAACAGGTCCCAGGCCCCTGCAGCTCTGGCAGCTGCAGTCACCTGTGCCACCCACCCTGCACCACGCAGAGCTGGCAGGAGGCAGGGGACAGCAGCAGCCAGCAGGGGCCTCTGGGCATCACCCTGCTCCAAGGACAAAGGCTATTTCATTCCAACTGGCATCAGCCTTGGACAGCTTCTTTTCTCTGCTTGTGATGAAGAAGTTGTCTTAAAGACATCTTTATGTGTGAACTGGAAGGGTTTCTATCGGCCACCAAATATACTTTTTCCCTCGGACTTGGACTCTGCAGGTGGAAGTGACTGCATTTTTGGTAAAGGTGAAATTTCCTGCACAAAATTTCTCCTAGAAGATTTCCCTATGACAATTCAGGTGATTTCAGGATTCACTGTGTTTTTTGCCCAGTGCTGAGGGTGAACTTTGCTAGCATAGAGTGAGCACAGGGGCTTTTACTGCTGCATTCTCTCCTTCTCTGTATTTTGCAGTGGGTGCCTTGGCCATGACAAAAACCTGTGGCTCATCAGAGCACTTTATACAGAAGGTCCCTAGTGCCTTTTTTCCTCACCATCCAGTAACAGTAGCTACAGCAGGCAAAAGAAAATAATGCAACTAAGCAGTTCCAGAGCCAGAGCAGTGAAGGGTAGGAATTATCCTCTGCACAGATTTGGTTTCTTTCTACCACCACGTGCCCTAAGAAACACAAGACATTGGCAGGAGCCTTTCTTTACACTGATACTTCTGATCACACTTCATCTGTCATTCATATTGACCTCTCCACCACACCCTCTTCACCCCAGCTCCTGAGACACGGCCACAGCTTGGGTGCCCTTGAGAAGGGTGACAGAGCACAATAACTCCTTGACCCCTGGTTTCAAGGGACCTTTGGTTTCAGATCTGTGACACCGAAGTCCCTCAGTGTCTCACACCTCCTGAGCTCCAAGGACTTGGGAGTCACAGCAGAGAGGTGATATGTTGTCTGCTCACCTGACCCCCACGCCTGCATCTTTCATTTGAGGCAGAGGGAGTGGAGTGTGTGGTGTGCTGGGACTTGTTACACACTGACTAGGACTGAACACAAAACGTGGCTGGGAGAAGCTTGGGGAGAGCTGTACGCCCCCTTGTTCCTCATCAGATTCTGGCTCTGAAAAATCTCTCCTCTTTTATGATGCCTATCTACACCCTCACCAAAGCGGCTCCTTCTGCAGAGGGAGTGGAGTGTGTGGTGTGCTGGGGCGTGTTACACACTGACTAGGACTGAACACAAAACGTGGCTGGGAGAAGCTTGGGGAGAGCTGTACGCCCCCTTGTTCCTCATCAGATTCTGGCTCTGAAAAATCTCTCCTCTTTTATGATGCCTATCTATCTACAGCCTCACCAAAGCAGCTCCTTCTGCAGCCTGTGACTCAATATTCAGTCTTTTTGTGAGATTGGACTATCTCTGTTTAAACACAGGGACACTGTTCATTGCTGAGTGCCTTTTTTTCCTGGAGAGGTGAACCCTCTTGTTAAATATGTGGCAAGAGTAAATGTTGTGTTGGTTTAATAGCTGATAAAAGCTCTATCATGGGAATGTACCTTGTTTTTTGGTTGAAAAGGGATTAGATTAGCCCATTGATTTTTCCCATTTCTAGTATGCATGTTCCCATAAGAGAGGCTCTCTGCTTTAAATGAACTGGTGTTGATGTGCTTCCTTCCAGACACCACGTGATTCCTGCAGAGTTTCTCTGTACATCTCCCTTAACAAGCATCACTTCTGCTGCTAGATCTTCCTCCCATGGATCACTGGACACCTGGACACCACACGCTCTTGTCATGGAGGCCCAAGCAGTGTGAAATGACACAGACCAGTCGTTTCTCTTGTGTTGGACACCCAGGGCTGCTGAGCTGCCAGTGACCGAGCTGGGCACAGCTCTTTGCCTCATGCAAAGCACCCTCGGTGTCACAAACCAAATCAGGGGTGTAAAAAATGAGGCACCCTGCAAATAGAACAAAATCAAAACCCAAGAAAGCAACAAGGCTGTAAGGTTTGTTTTTTTTCTTGTCTTTGTTTAAAAACGGGCGAGCTGAGACACGCTCCCTTGATGGCAGAGCTGTGGGGTGGGGGAGTGTAGTGGGAGGCATTAAAAAAAAAACCAAATCCCAAAACAAAGCCAAAATCAATTACAACATGTAAGTATAGCTATTTGGTCTCTAGTTCTCTACCATCAGTTTTCAGATTGGTGAATCATCTGCCTCTCCGGCAGCACAAAATGATCCTGGAGAGGTTCCTCAGTAATACAAAGCATGTGATGGGTCCCTTTGCTTTCTCCCTGTGATGTAAGGAACAGTCCTTCACCCTTCACCCCAGAACTGCTAGCAGGTATAAGAAACACCCCTCCCTTTTCTAAGTACAGATGCTTCAACCTTGGCTTTTTTATAGAAAGCTCTGAGCTGAGATTCTGCATTGTGGATACACTGTGGGGGTTACATATATATACATATATATATGAAATGCTTCTCTATATACACATACATATATATATATACGTGTCTGTCCCTGCTCTCCCTCCCTCCCTGCTCCATTCTCTCCCTTCTTTGCTAGAGGGAGGGAAAAGGTCAACATCAGTCTCTCGCAGAGGTTTGTCACGTTTATTTCTCTCTTCCCTGGAGCACTTAGGTGATTGGTTTTGGTCCATATTCCAGCAGTGGATGGCCACTCGTGAGCCCCAGCTCTGCTGGGAGGATATCCCGAGCCTACACGTGAAGGGTGACTCCTCTTCCTTGGACAGGTATGTGTGGTAAATTCTGTTGGTGGCTCCAACACGTTTCCCAGTGGCAGCACATGTAAATGGATCCGAGCAAACTGGAACCCTTGAGCAAATCCCTCCTGTGATGCTATTGTTTTATGCAGTGTTACGTCATGAGACTTGCACAGAAAATAAGAGCTCTCTGTTTCCATAGGAAAGCCTTCAAAAAAAAAAAAAGCATAATCTGCTGTCTTGTCCTATGTGAGATAAGGAAAGTCAAACTGCATGTTTATTAGGGAAAAAAAACAACACCCCCTCCCCCCCCCCCAAACTGAAACAAACCAAAAAGAAAGAAAGAACTCAAGGGAGACTTTGTAGGAACAGTGAAGTAGTGCATAAGTCCAGGCTTTCTCCCCTTCACTTTTCTGCCAGCACCACTTCAGCCTGTTAGTTTGTTTTGTTAAGGTGCTTCAGGTCCTGCGTGGTCTTCGAGCGAAGCGGCGACCCCAAGTACTGCTTCTGTGTTGTTGCCTCCCCTCCCAAACTGTGCCAGCCATCCGGGCAGATCTTCCTCCACGGCCCCACAGAGGTGGTGCACCAGTTCCCCTCAGCACTCGTCTTCTTGGTATATTTGTTCATCCAGTTCCTGGGATTCAAGGTGCTCAAGGCGGTCCGTTCGGCCACTCATTATCTCATCTGGGGTCTTCATGAACCTGCAAAACAGAGAAACAGGCCCATTGCCCACTGCTCTCAGCCTGGACCTTCAGCAAGGCCTCGAGGCCTCTGAGCTCTACAGTTCACTAAATCATCTTTGCTGCATCCTCCCAGTGCCTTAGTATTTCCCAGCTTCTCCCCAGGCTACCTTGAAAGGAAACCAAAAAAAATCACAGGCATTTACCCCCGCTCCTTGAAAGTCCAAATTTAAACCAAACCCCATGGTCTTTTCCAAAGAATGGTATTTACTTCCTCCCCCTCACATGGTTTGCTGTTGCCACAAGAGATGACAGTGTGCCACACACCCCTTCATTTCTGGTGTCTGGTGACATTACAGACCTCTGTGGCCACCACATTTCCAAGCAAAGGCACTTGCAAGGCGTGGAGGAGCTGAGGGCCACTGATTTGTGCAGGCATGCGTGTAGGTGAGTGAAGAGGAACAGGAACCACCAATGAACGGTGGAAAAAGCCAAGGACCGAGTCAGAACAAGTTGTGGGAAGTGGAAAAGGCCCTGAAAGAAAAGGCTTTTGGGCTGGGAAGCTGTGAGCAGTGACAGCCTCTCCCTGCGTGGCTGTGATGAAGCAGCATCCTCTGTCAGTGAGTGCCACGGGCTCCCAGCACTCCTGTCTCCATGCAGTGAGTCTGAAGGGGGCTAGAAACAGAAAGTGCCTCTGGGGGGGCACGGCAGCAGCAGGAAATGGGAAAGGACATCCACCAGCCTGCAGATCCTTGATCTTTGCCAGGGTGCTTTCGTGTACTACTGCAGAGAGGTAGCATGGAAAAGCTCTGCTTTTTCTTTCTGAATTTAATGGCGTAGGAGGAGAGAGTGGGACAGGAAGGATGAAATCCTAGTTTAAACACAAACCACTTTCCTAACTCGTAAGTACTTCTGGAGAAATTAGGATGAAAGATGTTTATGCTGGAAGTGTTACAAAATTTCGCAGTCTTTCATTAACGCCGTGCTGGCTAACGTGCAGCAGGACAAAATGTGTTCATCAGAGAAGCTAATTTTATTTCGGGTTGATAGGCTCAGTATCCTTGCCCCAACAAAAACAAAACCAACTGGCAGGAGCCTCGTTCCTATTGCTGACCCAGAAAAATCACTGCTGGAGCTCCTGGGCAAGAGCTGCCTCCTCTTCTGCCTCCGTGCTTGTACAGCTGAGGGATTTCCATCCGAAAAATCCAACGTCTCTCAGCAAATGCATAGCACAGCCTGGAACTAACCTTTAGCCATCCCTTCTAATTTTGGAAATCATGTGCACATATGCATTTAGGGGAAGAAAAAAAAAAAAAGAAGGCAGGCTGTGAGTCACTGCTGTGTCACTCCCATTTGTATGCTGGAAGAACGCTGCTGATGTCAATGATATCAACGGTGTTACGGTGCTGAGAAACCAGCGTGCACAAGTGGTGAATCAGCCCCTGGCCAGGCAGAAAACACACCAAAGCCTGCAGGCCAGACTGTGCCCTGGCCTAAACCCTGTGCTGCTCTTGTTGATCTTGCACCAGGGTGAAATGGGGACAGCGAGGGGTCCCACGGCCCTCCCCACCTCCTGTCTGCTCTGCTTCCTAAAGCCTGTGGGCAGTGGGCCGGTGTGAACTGCACCTCAGTGCTTTGTGCATCCTCTCTGGCCTGTGTTGCAAGTCATGTCAAGGAAGCAGGGGTATTTGTAATAGCATTTGATTAAATTTTAAAATTAGTTACTACTACAGAACGACAAGCTAATGAAGAAACTGTATCTGTGACCTCTTTTGCTGCAGAAGACACTCAGGCAACCTATCAGAAATCCCTCTCTGACTCCATTTCACTTAAAGCTCTGTACAGGTATCTGCAGATGACAACTGCCTGAACATTACTTAGAAAGACACATTTCTTATTATTTCTGTGCTTGTAAGAAATAGCCAAGAAAGGCACATTAGTGGCTTGATTTTTTGCAGCTGTTCTTTTTCTCTTCAGACATAAAAAGGTCTAAGAAAACAACATCAATAAGTTTTTATGGGGAACTGTGCAAAAAATGCTTTGTTGTTGGGTTTGGGTTTTTTTTTCCTCCCAGTTTCCAAAGGAAATGAGGTTTATATGCTCATGTTTTATGCTTCCTGGTGACCTTTGAATCTGTTGGTCAATTTTGGGCAAGTCCAACAGAAGAATGGAAGTCTCCAAAGGTCTTAAATTTCTAGTTTTGAGGAAATAGGCAGCCTGGTTCAGAAGAGATGGACTCGTTATGTTTGTTCCCCTACAAAGGCTCCAAGAAAAGCACATTCACTGTTCAGCATCACAGAATCCCTCCAGGGCAGTGCAGTCTTCACACAAGGCCACAGCAATCCAGGTTCCCTTGGTACTGCTGCTGATGGAGCAACCTTGTTTTAACTTTCCACAAAAAAATTTAGCCATGCAGCTGACTTTGTGATTCCTTCTTCCCTCCACTCTCCTCCCATCTAAGTCTCCTTCTAAGAGCTGACATCAACAAGACATTCCATAGAAACCTTTTCAGCTGTATATAGTTTAAGTGCTAATGCAGTTCTGGTGGCTATTTAAGAAAACAAACTCCAAGACTACCTTCCCACTGGTATCATTTCTAAGCACATTACTAGATCCAGACCCCTGACATCAAGGCAGTCTTTGGTCTGAAGTCAGTGCTCTGAGGGTCAGACAGATGCACTAGGATCTGCTGGTCTTGCCTGATGAGAACTGGAGCTTTGCTCTCTGCCAGCTCCACTCCAGTTCATGCAAGTACCTCCCTGCTGTTCCAGACACTATTTCCTATATTTTGGTTGTGTGATCCAACCTGATGCTTTAGGTTTATGAACAGCTCTTGCAGGTCCCTCTCCTCCTGGAAGGCAGCACGGCTGCAGACATGGTCAGCAGCACCTCTGTGATGCTGAGGCACTTCAGGAAAGGCCTGAACCCTGCTTAGCAGTCACCAGCAGCTGTGTGTGAAGAGCCAGTTTGAGTGGGTTTCCATGAATCATTTAGCTAAGGTCTTAAACAGTGGTGCAGGCTGCTTGAAGGGAGTGAAAAGACTTCTGTTGACTCCACTGATCACTGGAACAGCTCCATATTTTTGTAAATTGGTGCAGTTGCCTTGAAAGCTGGTCTAGACACCTTTTACAGTTGTGTGTTCATTGTCACCTGTGTTACAGACATGGCAACAACGTATTCTACACACACTTCCATCCTCCACCTTCAGAAACACTGTCTGTAGAAAGGAATGGCAAAGAAAGGAAAAACTCACCTGAACAAAAGCCTTTGTCCTGGCTCCTTCCGGATAATATTTAGTTTGTAGTAGTGGCGTAGGGCTCTGGACATCTTCTCATAAGTCATATTTGTTCTGTTCTGTTTTTTAAAAAAGGAAAAGGAAAAATGTAGTGAGATGATTCATTAAAGCCTCCCCAAGCCTCAAAAGGAGTTGCAGAACTATCATGGCTAACTAAACTAACCAAGTCAGTTCAAGAAATCACATGTTCCATTCTTCTGCTCTTTGCAGGCCCCTCCAGCCCCTCCAGCCCTCACCATCAAATTATTCTGGGTCTCTTTTCATTCAGGGCAATTTAAGCAAGAAAGTGCAACAGGAATTCAGAGTGAGGTTTTTCTACAGTTTCTTGGATCGCAGATAACAAAAGGCCTCATCAACCACAAGAAGAGACATTAGATGGAGGGAGATGCTCATGCCAAGTGGGATGTGACAGGCCTGTTCTTAAGGAAACCACTTTTTGTCAAAGCAAAAGAAGAGTGGCTAATGGAGCGAGTCTGTCAGCAGTCCCTGCTGAGAGCTCTGCTCCCCTGGGATCCCCCTCCAGTGACTCCTTAGTGCTCACAGAGCACTGGGGACAGAGAGCTGCTCCTCCTCTGGCTTTACAGGTGTGAATGAAGAAGCCTAGGAGGTTGTGGATCTGCCTCTGTGACAGAGCCCCCCCTGCACTCGGGGAGCTGGTGACCCCAGAGACCACAACCTGCTTGAAGCTGAGTGTCACAAGGCAGCAGTGATGGGCACTGGCAGAGCTGTACGTGGGCAGCCCCCACAGTAGTGACTGGGGATACCAGGGCCAGTCCCTTAGGTTACATCTACAAGAGCATTTTTCGGGTGCAAGGACCCCTGGTTACTATGCTGGCAAAGAAACTCCCAGCAGAGAGACAAGCCTACTGGCAAAGCCACATCTGCACGAGTACAGAGCAGCTGCCTTGCCATGGGCAAAACATGCTGCACTAACAGAAGCATGCTCTTGCTCTGTGAGCCTCCCATGTGAAGAGCTTGGCTGGGCACCACCCTGTCGGTCCAAGATCAGGCAGAAGGCTGTAGTGTTATCTATGAAATGAGACTGGTCTGTTTGTCTAAAATGTTCCCCAAGAGCAGAGCTCCTCTGCTTGTCCTGACCACAAGGGCTCTGCTAGAGCAGGGCACATGAAGAGTGCCCGTGGCAGTTCAACACTAAAAATGACTGTGCCCAGTTGAGTTTTGAACATCTCCAAGAATGGAGACTCCACAGTCTCCTCTGGGCAACCTGCTCCAGAGTCTGGCCATCTTCCTAGTAAAGCAGTCTCACTCCTGGGGTCTCATGAAATGCAGTAAGGGGCAATGTGAAGCCCCACACCTCCCCAGACCATTCTGCCCCAGGTGGGGGACCTTACATGGCCCCTTCACGTTAAATTCCTGATAGCCCATTTCTCCACCACGTCCAGGTCCCTCTGGATGGCAGCACAGTTCTGTGGTGCATCAGGCACTTCTCAGAGTTTCATACTGTCTGAGAGTTTGCTGAGCTCTGTCCCATCATCCAGGCCACTAATGAACAAGCTCAACAGTACTGGTCCCAGAATCAGTCTCTGGGGCAGCATCACTAGTGACTGGATCCTGTGCTGTCGATCACAATCTTTCCAGCCCAGCAGTTCAGCCAGTTTTCAATCCACCTCACTATGTTCTTGTCTAGGTTGTACTTTTAGTTTGACTATGAGGATATGGGAGGCAGTCTGAAAAGCCTTTCTGAAGTCAGGCTAAGCTATATCCACTCTTCTCCCTTGCATCCACCGAGCTAATCATTTATTGATAGATGGAGATCACGGCGGTCAAGCAGGACTTCCCTTTTGTAAACCCATGCTGACTACTCATATATTCATACAAATATACAGATATATCTATACAAATATACAGATATATCTATACATACTCAGCCCCAAGCTGCACAAATCAACTAACTGCTCTGCAGAGACCAAAGCAGAACTACCCTCTTAGCAGGAAACACACAATCCTGCAGCATTTGGTGTCTGTCACAGGCCAGCACGTGAGACTGAATGCTGCTGCAGACAGGAACACAGACAGAAAGCTCCTGCTGGATGTACACAGCTCTTTGGAGACCACATCTAACCAGAATATCCTTAGCTTCAGGTTTTGGAAGAAATGAGATGCCTTCAGAGAGAAGGACTGTTAATTCTTGCACTCCTTGTAATTTTATAATTAAATGCATTTATAACTAACTGCCTTTCAACCAAACCAACAGGTTCCCTATAAGAAGGGTAGGTTTTAGTGCTTGGGGCTGGATGCTTTGTATTTCTAACCTGTGCAGAATGAAAGATTACAACTTTCCAGCAGCAGTTTATACACATATGCTTTCTTCCTTTCCCCCTGTTTGTAAGTGAACCCTGTGCTGTTCCAGCAGGAGAGGTGCATTGCTTCCTTACCTTGTGGTTTCCCCACAGCCGGGCCAGCCCGTTGGGATCCACTATCCGAAATATTTTGGATTCCTTATCTTCCCATCGGATGAAATTTTCGTACCGGCTGTCAGAAAGCAGCTGATAAACATAATCCCAAAGCAACCTACAGTCTGTGAAGAGAGGAACAGAAAACACTGACTTTTTTTGCCTTGGGATTAGCTCTGGAAACTTTGGGGTGGATGCGTGGTGGAAGGACAGTTGGGAGCAGGGCTGAAACAGCTGCTGCAATCTCAGTCGGTCAAGAGAGGTTCTCCTCCCCCTCTATTCTGCATTGGTGAGACCACATCTGGAGTATTGTGTCCAGTTCTGGGCCCCTCAGTTCAGGAAGGACAGGGAGCTGCTGGAGAGAGTCCAGCGTAGGGCTACAAAGATGATTAGGGGAGTGGAGCATCTCCCTTATGAGGAAAGGCTGAGGGAGCTGGGTCTCTTTAGCCTGGAGAAAAGGAGACTGAGGGGTGACCCCATCAATGTTTACAAATATGTAAAGGGTGAGGGTCAGGAAGATGGAATTAAGCTTTTTTCAGTGATGACCTGTGATAGGACAAGGGGTAATGGGTGCAAATTGGAGCATAGGAGGTTCAAGATGAATATCAGGAAAAATTTTTTCCCTGTGAGGGTGCCAGAGCACTGGAACAGGCTGCCCAGAGAGGTTGTGGAGTCTCCTGCACTGGAGTCATTCAAAACCCGCCTGGACGCCTTCCTGTGTGATGTACTCTAGGTGGGCCTGCTCTGGCAGGGGGGTTGGACTAGATGATCTTTCGAGGTCCCTTCCAACCCCTATGATTCTATGATTCTATGATTCTATGAATCTGAAATGCAAATGGCTTGGCTGGTATCAACAAAGGTTTGCAAAATCCACTGGAATACACAGGCTCCTCTCTGGTGCCCTCGTCCTTCTGACACTGCCTGAGCATCTTCATCACATTAAAGGCTGCGTGAGGTGACCTGCTGATCTCAGCTGTGTGCTTATTGTTGTACTGATGCACATAAACCCACCACTGCTGGCCCTGCTGCTGCTGCTGCTGGCTGGCTCAGTGGGGAAATCAAGAATCCTGCAACCTGCTCTCCCTGCTGGAGGCTGCCCCAGCCTGTGCAGCATGAGGGGCTAAAGCATGGGCAATATCACAGCTTTCCTTTGTATACTCCGTGCGATATAAAATCAACACCTTCTGCCATTTTTGGAATTTGCTTTTTAAGGTTCCTGAATAAAACCCCCAAGTATTATAATTACTTGAGTGCTACTGAGAGGTTAAATACTTTCTATTTGGATAATTGAATTCAAATTTCCTCTTGGCAAACACTCCTTAGGTCGCTAATTAAAGGTCTAACAGATACTTAGGTTTTAGTTTAGTGTTTTTCAGTTTCATGGCAGTCTCTTGAGACTGAGGAAGCCAAGAGCTGAGCTGCTCCTGCTTCCTGCTTGCAATGTGTGTGTGTGTGCAGCACGGCATAATAACTGGCAACCATCAAGTATGGGAAGGGAACTGCAGAGCTGGGGGTGCTGCTGCTCTCAGAAACAACAGGGGTTTTACAGCTCAGCTGCCCAGATCCCAAAGATGGCTGTAAAGTTGCATTGGACTTAGAAAGCAAAACCTTTCTAAGCAAAAATCTCTGAGAGGTGGCTTGTTAGAGTGGCTAAAGGCCAGGCCACCAAACCCATCCAGCTTCTAGCTGCTACAATGGATTCTTCTCAGCCTGTCTTTCTATTCCTGTCTGTCTGTCTGGGGTTTGTACCTGCTACAGTTCGGACCATGACATGTTCAGGATGAGAATATAAAATGCTTTTTGAAAAGGGAAATGAATAACACTTTTAATGAGCACACCTAATGTGGTTAAACATAGTAAGACTATTGGTGGTATTTCCCACTTTTGAAGTGTAAGGAATATCTCTGAAACCTGTACTGCCTCTAAAACCAGAGCTTAGTTTGCCAGTGTCTTTAGTCTTAGGGAGAACAAAGAAGAGTGTTTTGAAGAGATGACATCTGGCAAAAATTGTAGATTTCTGTTTAAGCTGAAACCTACTGCAATGGTCACCTCAGCCATGAGGGGGAATGTGAAAGGAAAGAGGAAGTCAGACTTTTTTATTTGGTAAAACCTTATTTTCACTAACATTTTTCACAGAAAAAACCTCCATTCCCATTTGACCATCCTGGCACAGAGCTGCAGATGAGCTCTCCTTGCCTTGTGCCCCAGTCCAGTTCACATACACAGCCCAGCACCTACCTCACTGTTTCTGTCAGCTTGCCTCTCACAGCTTCACAAAACCCAGTTCTTCCACCACCTTTCCATCAACAGTTTTTCCCTCTCACACACACACTCAGTCTCTTAGACAGGCACGTATTAGATAGAACTTTCTTTTCCAGATTTCATTTATAAGGAACCAGGAAAGGGAGATTCTATTGCTCTACTGGTTTGTGCCTTTCAATAGTGTGGGAGGTGCTCAGATGATAGGGTAGTAAGGGCCCATGTAAGTTCTTGACACATGTGCAGTCCTCTCCAGAACTCTTTTAATGAAAAGCTGTCTAGAAAAGGTTTTTTAATTGCAAGAATCTTAATTAAAAAAATGAACAAAATAACAATTTTAATAGTTTTTTTTCCCATTTTCCTTTTCCTTTGATTCCTGTAGCTCTGAGTTCATGGGCCTATTTTGCCAGCTGATCAGAGTTGGTAACAACACCGTGTTCCAAAAACTACCTTTTTTTTTAACCATCTTGTGCAATCTGTGATAACTTCAACAACAAAACCTCTAGAGCCTAGGCCAATGGTTCATGCTGGATTCACTGGTTTAGACCAGCTTTTCCCAAAGATCTCCATCCTTTCTTTCTGTCCAATCCTATATTAAATCACTGTAAAGGTGAAGGACTCCTCCAGGTCAGCAGTGACTCCTTCACCACGGCCATGGTGGGTCTGTTGCTGAACCAGCCGTTCTGGACTGTGCTGGGAGTTTGCTGAGGTGGCTGCTCAGGGGATGGCCTTATCTGGAGAGCACTGCAGGGATCTGTCAGCACAATGTCCATCAGTTGGTTTTCCTTGTGCCACTCTTGCTGGTCCTGGAAGGGGTGTCCCTCCTGGGGTCAGCTGGAGGCATGGCACTTCCCCCAAGGCAAGCCAATGTCAGCCTCTGTCATATTCTTGACTGTGCAGCCCAGGACAGACACTCTCCAATTATAGTAGCTTATAGTTAATATTTACAGTTCTGCAGAGATGTGACTGACTCTAAACTTTACTTTCATCTCACTATTTGCAATATGCAACGTTGGTTTTAATTAGCAGCCTACTGCTGTAACCATGCTCTAGAAAATTTCCAATACAGCTCTTACTGGTGGGGCTGGCAGACCCCTAACATCCTCTCCACGGTGGCCCCTGGAAGAGTTTCAAGGAGGTGCTGGCTCCCTGAGAGCTGACTGGGATTACACATACACTGTGCAATGCACTCTGCCAGGACTGCACGTTCACCCTAGTGCAGCCAGCAAGTGGACTCTAGTTGAACCTAATGGCTTTGGTTATTTTCCATTGGCTATCATCACCTCACACACAGACACGTGTTGTGTTCCCCCTCCTCCACAAAAATAAGAGAGCAACAAAAAGTTCAGCCCAAGATGTCTGGATGGAGAATTACTGGGCTAGGAACAGAGCTTCAGGCTCTGAGAAGTGGTAGGATTCAAGTGCAGGTTTGTTTTTGTTGTTCACTTAATTTTTAGAATGGATTCAGGCTAAGCTTGAATATAAATACTCCTCAAATAAGAACTCGGATCTGCATCTTGAGATCTTCACAAGAAAAGGTCTAAGTGATCAAGGGCCCCATCCCATGTTTTGAGCTGACTGAGCTGTTCAGACTTGCAAAGGTATTTAGTAGGCTGATGAAATTTGCAAAAAAAAACCCCAACCACCCATGTATCTTAGACCTCTGCTTCGACAAGAACACTGAAAATCCTTGAAAATTCTCCTTGGCTTCTATGATCACTAAAAAACTCATCTTCAAAAACAATAGTTTTTGAACACCAGCAAATGTGGATCTATGACTGAGTAGGAATAATTTAATGAGCTGGAATGAATGAATGCAGCAGTGGCAAACTGTGTCTCAAGCAACTGCAAATAGGGAATAAAAAACATTAAACACCAGCAGAAAAGATTTAGGCTCACTGCATTTCTTCTCACCTCTGCTGAGAGCTACGAGTGTGCACACTGGTAGTTACCATGGACCAGCACAATTCCACCAAATGTATGAGCTCTGTTTGCAGAGCACCTAAATCAGTGTGCCTTCTTTCAAGCTTCACATGGGAGACATCAGGAATTTGAGCACAGGCACTCAGGGTTTTTCTTGTTTGGTTTGTTTTTTAACCACAAATGATTTACATCCTTGGTGTCTTTCTCCACATTGCATGGTAAAAAAATAGGAGGTCCTGGAGGGGTCACCCTGACTGACAGAGGAGCAGCAACTCAGTCATCTACCATTATTAGGCCACCAGAGATCATCTTTAATAGGACAATAGACACTCTAGCTCAAAGACTACCTGGTAATTCTTAGTGAGTGAAATGAATTTGGAGTACAGTAGAGCCCATTTGGAGTGGACCTATGGAATTGGTGAAAACCCAAGAAGAGCCAATGATATAAAGTACTATTAAAAGGAGCTCCTCCACTGGGAAGAGAGGCACCTCCACAAAGGCTGGTGAAGACAACAGAGATAAGAGAGAAATCTGCATCCTCCAGGACGGTCCAAACTATTACATGTATTTTCAGGAAGGATGGAGAAACGGAGAGGACACAAATCCACAATCATGGATGGTTGTTTTCTAAGTGTAAATCATTTGTTTAAGGCAAGCCTGGATGGTGTGAATGATTCTATGAAGACTAAATCACATCCTTGACTTGGAGGACAAAGCCTCCAAAGGAGCAGTCACATGGGGGGACTCTCCACAGGCTGGTAAGCAAGGACCAGAAGGCACATGGATGCTGCTGGGGCCAAGCAAGTTTACAAGTGTGGGAGATTCCAGAGGGCAGTTGAGCTGGCACTTAAACTGGGCAATTTCCTGTCTTTTGGCTAAAATAAACTTACTTAGAAAGTAACTATGTCTGTGCAGCACAAGGAAACATCGTTTCTCCCTAACA